CGCCTCGCCCCAGCTCCCATGGCCTTTCAGGGAGAGGCTGACGGTGCCCACCGCTTCCTGTCCTGCGCCCTTGCCGCCCCCTGGCTCCCTCCTGGCGCTTTAGCCACGGGGGGACTGGTTTCCCACTGTGATGACCGACGCCCCCAGCCTCAGGACAGAGAGGAGCCCGGGGCCAGCACTCCCCGTGGGGTTCTGTCCTTCCCGCTGGTCCCTCACTCACAGTGGAGGCGTGGTGGCCGCTTCTCACTGCCCAGGGGTGGTTCCTGGTTCCCGTGGTGCTGAACTTAGGAGTTAATTCTTCCTTCTGGGAGTTTGCAGGCACTTCGAACCCCGCCGTGCCCTGCAAGTCCTGCTCACACTCCTCCCAGCGTTTTTCTGTTCCCTGCCTGTTTGTCTGTATGATGAATTCTGGTAAAATGCACAGTGTTCGTGTGCAGGTTAGTGATGTCAGCACAGGCACCTTGCTGTGCAACCACCTCCAGGACTTCTCTGCAAAACTGAAACTCTCACCCGGCAGCCACCATCCTGCTTTGTGTTTCTGGGCGTTTCCTTACGTCACTCGCGTATGGATCATCCGGTACTTGTCTTGTTGTGACTGGCCTCTCACTGAACATAGCGCCCTCGAGGCTCCTCGGTGCTGGTGTGGGTCAGGGTCCTTCCTCGGCCGCTGTGGTCAGACCACATTGGCTTCCCACCACCCGTCAGCGGCCACCTGGGGTGCTTCTGCCTTTGGCGGTGAGTTCTGCTTGAGCACGACGCACATGTATCTCTGAGACCTGGTTTCCATCCCAGAATTGGAGTCCCTGGGTCACATGGTGATTCTGTGCTTCATTTCTTGAGAATCCGCCGTGGGCGTCCACAGTGGCTGCGCCGTTTCCCCTTCTCACCAGCAGAGCACACGCTCCGTCTCCCGCGTCCTTACCCGCTGCTCTGCTTCTCTGGCTCTTCAGTGTGAGCAGCCGTCCTGGCGGGGGCGTGCCTCACTGCGGCTGTGATGGGCATTTCCCTGTGAGCGGTGAGCCTGAGCATCTGCAGGGGCTGCATGGCCATTTGTTTTCTTCCTCAGAGAAATGCCTGGTCTGTCTTGTGCCCGTTGTGTAGTTGGGCTGTTGGGAGTTGGTTGCTGTTACAGTTCTTCCTGTATCTGGACACCATGGCCCTTTTATTCCCTGGTATCTGTACCCCCAGTTCTTCGGGTCCCTCCCGCCCACACTCACCCCGCAACCAGGTGTGTTTAGTGAGCGGTGCCCTCACGAGGGGCGGTCTTTGCTTTTGTGGAACCCCACTCTCCCCGCCTCCTGCTGAAGGCCCTGCTGCTCTGCATCTGTTCGTCTGCAAACTTTAGAAACAGTTCGTCAAGCCCAGAAGCTACCAGACTCTGTTTGGAATCTCACCACTTTCATGGATTTAGGCTTTCGTGTTCTCGTACGTAAGAGCGGGCCATCCAGGAACACGTGTCTCCCTGTACGTAGGTCCATTTGCCAAGTTTTGTACTTAAAAAAGTCTGGATCTTAACTTCATCTTCGGTAGGTTCTGGCTTTTATTGCTGCAGTGAATAGAATTTTAAAAAGTTTACAGTTGGTTATTCCAGAAGCCGGAGGAGTTTACGAAGGGGGGGTGGCCCCTCAGCTTGTCCTGAGCCTCCCTGTGGCCGCCAGGGCCCTGGCATCAGACGCTGCTGGTACCGTGGCCGCGGAAGTAAGCTCTGGTCACACGCTGCTCCTTGTCCTGGCTTCTCGCTCACTCTGTCCCTCACCTGGTCGCCTGCGTTTCTCTTCTGCCTCCTGGATGCTGAGCTTGGGGCCGGGACCAGGTCTCGCCTCCGCCGATGCTCAGCGGCCAGCAGGTGCTTTGTTGTGCCCGAGGCTCGCAGGTGTGTTGTGTGTTTTCTCTAGAAGCAGCGACGCTCGAATCCGTTACAAATAACGGTTTCGTGTCCGTGCCTCGGGTAGTTCCCAGCACAGGAGGCTTGGCTGCTGTCCTGAGCCGGGACTGGAAGCCTGTTCCCACCGTCCGTGACGCCGCCCGCACGTCCGTTGCTCCCGGGGCCTCGGAAGTAAGCTCTGGTCACACGCTGCTCCTTGTCCTGGCTTCTCGCTCACTCTGTCCCTCACACCTGGTCGCCGCGTTTCTCTTCTGCCTCCTGGATGCTGAGCTGCTTGGGGCCGGGACCAGGTCTCGCCTCCGCCGATGCTCAGCGGCCAGCAGGTGCTTTGTTGTGCCCGAGGCTCGCAGGTGTGTGCGGTGTTTTCTCTAGAAGCAGCGACGCTCGAATCCGTTACAAATAACGGTTTCGTGTCCGTGCCTCGGGTAGTTCCCAGCACAGGAGGCTTGGCTGCTGTCCTGAGCCGGGACTGGAAGCCTGTTCCCACCGTCCGTGACGCCGCCCGCACGTCCGTTGCTCCCGGGGCCTCCGGGCCTTC